ACAATAAAAAGTAAAATGGATTTTGGTGAAGTCAAATTAGGTCCCTATTTTAGCTAACTGCTGCTGTATTAAATGCTAAATGACAGCAGCGCTGATTTTCAAATAGAGCCCAATATTCACTTCACGGACGGTCATACATTACTTAAAGTTAAAAATTAAAAACAACCATTCTGAGAAATGAGTGGAGAAGGAATCAGTATAAAAGAGGTATTATTTGGAACTATGATGTATGAACTGTTATACCGGGTTAAAATTATATGTGTTATACTTTATATGATGTGGCACAATGATTTCGCTTGTCGATTTATACTAATAACACAATATATAAGTGAACTGTACACTTGCATATTACATATATATATATATATATATATATATATATATATATCAATACATATGTATATACCTCATACATATTTAAATGTACATACATGTGGAATTGTTTGTTTATAATGAAGCACAGATTGGTGTTTGACTTGAAGGTTTAATCTCTTTCTCTTCACAGCTGTATCGTCTTATCACAATGGCTTCCCGTTTGCTAGTGCTTAAAATCCAACTTCCCTTCATTCTTACTTCTTATTCAGTCACTCGCTCATTGTTCACTCATTTTAAATACTTGCTCTTTCACTCACTTTCGTACTGTCATCTTGCTATCTTTATTACACATTCATTCCCTCACTTCATTCCTTTACGTTTCGTCCCACATACATATACATTATAAAGTGCTCAACAGCTCAACATTATATAGTATATTATCTAATCTTAATAAAATAAACAACTGAATTTAATTGCAAAGACTTTACGATTTAACAACCATAAACAAAAAGAAACGAAACAATGAGTAATCTGAAAAATTAGTGAGGGAATAAAAAAATTAAACCATAATTATTTTGATGCATTAAGTATGTTGATTAAGTATATTTCGATGCTAATTTGCACCTAATCCAAGTACTCGAGTAACAGGTGGATTATGTATGACTGAATACGGCTAGAATTCAATAGCATAGAATATTTATGGTTCTAATGCGCCTATTTATCATTTTCATTATCATCATCATTATAGTTGTCTTTTTTATTCTTACATATGTTTTGACCATGTATAACTCATACAATATATTATGTGTATACAGTACATACTTATTTAGGCTATATATATGATCGTATAAGTATATATTAATATGAGTATACGCGTAGCTCCATATCAATATATTATGTACGTAGGTTTAGTCCCAAAAATGTTGTTATTTTTATATTTCCATTGTGCTTTTTTTCTGTAACTGCCTTCGACGTTATATCACTGTCCTAAGGTGGAACGGCAGAGAATTATTAAAGAATTAGGTCCACATTTTGTGTACGGTTCAATAATAAATAAATATTTTGTATTTCAAGATGTTATCAGAAAGATGTTGCTACCCAGCTCCTGTTTCTTTTCCCAATGTCGCCTCTTATGACCCCTGCGGAATGACACGAGGTGACGAATATTCTTACACCGCGACTACCCAGCAATTAATATTCCTATAAAATACATATTAGTATAATAATAATGTAATCAAGACCGAATTTCAAGAAAAGTACAAAGAAAAAATACTGCATAAATAAAATAAATAAATAATTATAATTGCGTAAGTTGATAAAAAATGTTATGCAATAGCTTTACCGCGGCAGTCCCCGAGTGCCACACGTATTTTTTGATATTGTACCAATATTTAGATTTCTTATCGATAGTACTGGGTCGTTCCAGGTTTTTTGTAAAACGAAACGAAACCGTTTTTTTGAAATAAGAAACAGTTCTGAGAAACAAATAAAAAAAACAGTTTTTTCAAAAAAATTCCCGCCAGTGTACGTAACGACTTCACCATATGTTTGTTTACAAAATAATAAAACGAACTTCCCTTCATACTTTTTCCAGGCTTAGGATTGGCTAATAAATGTTACGGGCGTATTTAAAAGTTCATTTTATATACACGTTTTCATTATTTACACTATCTACAATATTAGAACAAAAGATATTTACAAATTAAATCGGTTTTATCGGTATATTACAAAACTACTAAACAATTAATATTTACAATATATCACATAAAACACTTTTCGCACGTAAACATACAGTCATTTTTTTTGCAAATTCAAAATTAGCTAACACAGTAAGCGTAGACAAGCGTTACTTGACGACAACTGAAACTGATTTAAATTTTAAAATAAAAATCGTACGTTTGGCCAAACTGACCTTCACAAACAGAAACATAAGAAAAAATAAGAGAAAGCCGAAAATACCGTTTTTTCTCGGTCCGTTCGTTTTTGTTCTACCGTCTACAACCAAATTAGAATTGTGTATAAATAAGATTTATTTTAGCTTTAATCGTAACGTCAAATCAAAAGTAGTTACTATAACTGTATTCTATTAATACGACAATAGTTCATAAAGCAATAGTAATAGAGTCTTAACTTAGATCCAACCTATGAACCTACCAAACGAGCATGTAGTTTGTAAACGTTTTGCGATTGAGACAGTTCCGAAAATGAAATGTAGAACTGTATTCATTTCGTTCATTTTTAAACCTAATGTTGGATCTTCGAAAAACTGTTCGTTCGTTTTTCTTTGACAAACTGTTTTTTTAAAGTGTTTCTGAATAAAACGCCCAGTACTACTTATACTATACGGTTTGCATCGCCCACCTCTACCCGGCAGTCTGCGTTCTCTAGTATATATACAGTAATCTATGGTCTGAATTGAAACGGCCTCAGAGTTAGACTCCACGCTTTGCGCCGCCGGAGTAACGGTTGTCATTCAAATCGCATAAATCTATTTTTGGCTTGCATATTTTAAATTCTTTTGTACGTTTAATTAATTGTATTTAGTTTTAATTTCTCTTGTTTGGTGCTGTAATATCTGAGTTGCAAATTGTCCTTGTGTAAAAAGAAAACATTATATTCTTGGAAGAGTGAAAGGCGTTTCCATCATTGCCCAGCTTAACCTCCCACAAAACTAAAAACATTTTTAAGTAATTTTACTCAGTAAATATAGAGATACAATAAAATTATTAAGTGTTTTGTACAATCTAGATATTACTCTTCTTGTGTAATGTTATACCGCCATTTTTAATTTTTTGTTTATTAAGCTCATTGAAGTAATATGTACTTGTACGTAGTACATAATAGCTCAATGATTAAGCTAAACTTATCACTAACATCACAAGTCTTTATGACCGAAAGCGCTAGTGTAATATTAATTATTATGACATAGGTATTATAAATAATTCTGCCTTTATGAATTTACTGTGAAAACGTGTATGTCTACAATATATAATAATTATTAATTATAATTATACAATACATATTCATATATACTTCAATAAATGTATATGTCTACTTCCTCATCTGTATCGAAAATTGAGAGCTCTTTTTGGAGTTTCCCAAATTCGCCTCTTACACCGACGGGACGAAATGTTGTGATGTATACTCGCCGCAACCACAAATATAAACTAAAAGGATGCTGGTAATTAAAACTGCTGTCACTCCGCGTGTTTTGTTGACGTAGAACGTAAATGATGGCGCCGAATAACGCAACATAAAACATGGCGTCCGCTATCACAGACTCGTAAACTGTTTTCGCGCTCATTTCAACATTAAACCGCACAAAATTTAATTGTGCTGAAGAGAGGGTTCCATAATTTACTCAGCAAAAGGCTTGTTTGCGGCGAGTAATGCAAATTAATTGTTTTTTTTTTTTTTGTTGTGGAAGTTAAAAAATTACCACAAATGCATTTAACATATATACAAGACACAAGAAGAAGTGTAACATATAAATCAATGCATTTAACATTGCAAGATTGTGGTGACGACCTAAGACGTGCAGTAAGTCGAGGGGAGGTTTATGTTAAATTTTCGTTACCGATAGTCATAATATAAGCAAAATCATTTAAGCTTTTTTTAAGGTTTATTTATATATTTATTGGCATTACTGCAGCTATATTATGATTATAGTACGAATGAGTTAGCTCGACCGTAAAACGACCACGCTCTCACAGAATACCGGAGTAAAATTGTACCTTAATACTGTATTTCGTATGGGAAGTGTAGAGAATCGGAGACCCTTTTTATTGAAAACGAGGCATTCTATTTTAAGCCTCAGAAAGGATGGGTGTAGATGTTCATGGGCAACAGTATCCAATTACTATCAGGAGAACTGTATGGTTGTTTGTCACCCTCTTTCTGTAAAATAATTACAAAATGGCGCTTCTTAAATCTGCCGCTTGAGAGCAACTACTCTAATAAAAACTACGATACCAACGGGACAAAATATAATGATGACTTCTCTTGTGCTGTCTTTTTTAATTAATGTTTGTGTTAACAATAATAATATATTTTAAAAAAATAAAAGTGAAGTCCTAATGTAAGTGAACTGTACATCAGAGAGATATAAGCAGAAGTTGGCAAAAATAAAAACTCTATAATACTTCTTATGTTGCGTGCTTAAGGGTGTGTAGAAACGTGGATATATGTTATACTGTAAATTAGTTGTAAGGCAAAACGACAAAGAACAATTTACGGAGAATGTTTTATTACCTGTCGTTTTAAATGTAAGATCGTTACCACATACACAAGTACAACAATACAACTAACTAGCTGCCAGAATACGTAAGATAGAGAGAAAAGGCATGACGTCATCCTTTATTGTTGTGAATGACATACGCGATAAAATATAGAATTCATAAAATATTTATTCTACGATATACGAGTAGGAGCACAACTGAGGCTCCGTTTATGAACAGGGACAACATGAAACTGTCGCAAATGACAGAAAAAATAATAATGTGATACTTAGGTCAGTTAACTAACGCTGGCATGTTCACAGTACTCACACATATGAAATTTCTGTATACGGTATGTTTAAAAATAAATGATTTTGGTTCAAAATGCGACTCTAGTCTAAGTGTAGATTAGAGTTAGGTTTTAGTAAGATTAGGTGCGTTGTGGATAAATTAAATCTTCTATCCCACTCAAACTTTCACGGCTCGAAGAACTTGATCTCTTGACTCGCCGTCGGAATTTCCTAGTGTTATTATAAATGAATCTGTGAAATTATCCACTTTTAGTTCCAGCTGAATATATTTTTCCGGAATATATTTGCTTTTTACCCGGTGTTCTAAACGTAACTTGAGGCAGCAATGTTTTAGATGCTGTGGCTCTCCTTCTCCTGAGGTAGACTGTTGTGATGTTGACGCTTCAACAGCCGCTACAACTTGATTGCGTACTTCACAAACAACTTGTTGAACACTTCTCTGGGACACACTAGTCGCCTCTGATGTCCAACCATACAAATCTTTCTTTAAACGATCTCCACCATCACTTTTTTTATTATGATGACGCATGAAATAGTTAAAAACATTATACACTATTTCACGAGATTGTCCTGTTAAAGTTTTGCCGGAACCAATTCTTTCAGAAGACATTTTACTCTATACTCCAAATATGTGCATAATCAAACGCACCGCGCGTCGATCACACGTGACTGACGCTAACGGCTAAACGGTGTTGTACGTGCCAGCTCTAGTTAACTGAACTTATATGTAGCTACATTACGAGCAGGATACCGAAGACATGTTGCTACAAATCATTCAAATTTAAATCTTGCAATCCGTGAATGCACGGGAAAGGTTTTTTTTTAGATTCATTTATGTACAAACAACAAGATACAGAACTATCCTATAGTGAATTCGTACAAAGGTTCTACTTATTCCAAAGTATGCTGAGATATCTTCCAGTAGATCCATAAATGAAAATATATTAAAAAGGCTAACTTATTGCGTACGTTTACTACTACTAATGAATATATAATCAGGCCTCTGTCACTCTTGCTACCTCCGTGAAATAATTATCTACAATCGCGACGCACCCAGGGTGATATACGTAGTCGGAGCTAGCGCGTTGTAGGCGATTGAATGTTAAAGTTTTGTAACGCTGTTTACTTAAATATTTTTTGTAAATACTTGTTGAAATAGTTTTTGTTTAGTGTTTAATAATATATTTACTTGTGGGATAAAATAATTAAAATGTTTTAATGTAATTTAAAAATTATATATATATATATATATATATATATATATATATATACTACATAACATATATATACGTTTCAGGAACGCGCGTCTGCGGCGCCGTAGACGCTGATTGTTGCGTTTGCATTGATGATACAAGCGCGCGCATGAAGCGTGTATACGCGCGTTTGAAGCGATACAAACGCGCGTGCAAAGGAGCGGAGTATAGGGGCAGGGGGGGAGGGGCGCTCACGCCACCACTGCACCACCGCCCGCGCCTTAGTTGCAATAATAGTTTATTGTGTGCTGCGCGTGTATTTGGTTTAAAATGGAACCCTTCGACACCGACCGCTTCATAATAGAAATAAACAATCGTCCCACTACATGGAATTCACTACTGCCCGAATATTCAAACAGTGTTAAAAAGAAATGCTTGGGATGAATTGTGCCAAATTTTTTATAACAATTTCAATGAAAAACCCAGTAAGGAAAAAAACCTGGCAGGTAAGATTTATTATATTTATTTAAAAATAATGTATTTGTTTTAGGACTACACATAAAACATCGCCGTAAAGATAGCCACCCCATGTCGCGTGCCCACGTTTTATGGTGTTAAATCGTTAGTTGTGATAAGTTCTGGTGTAATTTTAGCTTGTTCCGCTTTCCTTCTTACGATTTTTTTTACTTATTGGAACTAACGATTTAGCACCCTAAAACGTGGGCACGCGACATGGGGTGGCTATCTTCACGGCGCACGTTGGGCCGAATCTGAAAAAAAGGAACTTATGAATTAAAAATTTATCATCATATCTCATTAAATATTCGTTTTTAGAAAAAATTACAATTAATAAATGTTGATTGTATTGACGACTTCTGTCGATTGGCTGAACAAAAAATTGACGTTTCGGAAAAAAAATCGTAAGTTCCTTTTTTCAGATTCGGCCCACCGTGCAGCGGTACATAGAACAGTAAAACAGTAGAACGTGTAATTAGGTAGGTACCCTAAATTTTAGGATCTTGCCATGGTACTGCACCTTCATCGCTAATAAAATAACCAGTATACATATTTCGTATCGTAGTTCCGCTTAATTGTCCCTGTGACCGTCTTGCACCAATCGAAATCAAACTTGCATCTTCAGGAGGATCTCCTAAACCAGCTATACTCAAAGAATTATGAAAATTATAACCGTCACGTTCACGTATGAAATTATGCAGTACACAACAGGCTTTCAGGTCGATTAAAGATTTTAAATTTGTTGCTTAATATACCAAATGTACATTCAATGTATCGTCTGGCACGTGTCAAGCGGTAATTATATATTCTTTTTTCTCGTGGCAAAATTTTTCCAGCGTAACATCTCTGTAAATGTTGAGATAATGCAAAGCATTCATCTCCAACAAACGTAAATGGTATTGGCACTCCATTATTAGATACTGGTCTCGCATTTGGTATATTATAATTTCCTTGCCTTATCTTTTTTGGTCCATTCACTACATTCATTTATTGTTGAGTCTGCAGCCTTTCCATAGCATCCAACATCTATATCGATGAATCTGTAATTTGCGTCACATATTGCAAGCAATACGATGGAAAAATATTTTTTATAATTAAATATCTATCCACTTTTAGTTTAAACTCTAATATGTTTCCCATCATAGCCCCAAGTAACTATTCCATCACTTTTTAGATGTGATTCTTCGGTTGGTTCTGGCATGCAGATGTTTTTTTAATTTATCCCATATTATTTTCACTGTTTCACGGACTATAATGCCTGCCGTCGTTTGTCCACACGTAAAGTCATAGCGAATATCTGAGAAATAGCAACCCGTAGCTAAATACCTGAAAAAAATAACATTATTATAACTTCTATTGCCATCGTAAATTTTACATATTTAATTAAAATTAACCTACAACTACTTATTTCAAATAAATTAAAATTAACCTAATAAATAACTAAACTATTGACATTATTATTGTTTTCAGTCATTGATCTTCAAATAAATGGAAGTGTATTAAGGACGCTTATAAAAGAGACAAAGCGAAGAAAAATAACTGTTCCAGTGGATCTGGAGCTAAGCCTAGAAGACCCTACATATATTCCAATTTGCTAACCTTTTTGACCCGCTTTACGAAATAAGATCTCCAAGTCAAAATGGTGATGCAGCACTGGGGCATGACAAAGACTGTGATTTTCAAAAGCCACATTCACCAAAGAAGTCTAAAAAGACTCCAAAACATGAAGACCCACAGGACAAATTGTATGAAGCACTGACAGCAAATCTCAAACAGTCTAAAGCGAATAATACAATTTTATCTGAAAATCCCGACATACTGTTCTTAGTTTCATTAGCTAAAGATTTTTCTGCCATCAAAGAGGAATTTAAGTTAGAGGCCAAAGCTGATATGATAAATTTAATTCGTAAATATAAAAATATGGGACAGTCATCGAGAACATTACATGAAAATAGATACCAAGGTGCATTTCAATATGAACATCAGTATGGATAACAGTCTGGATATCAGTCTGAATTTCAGCCTCAATATCCAAGTAATCAATCAGCGCCAAGAAACGAATCTGTCAGTTCACTCCAAAATTTGGATAGCAATGAATCGGTTACAAATGACTCCGATATCATATCTGACATGTATGATGATATTGAATAAATCTTTTTCTCTTATTAATAATCTAAGTGCACTTATAACATTTTACGATTTATTTAAAACTGTAACAGGTCAATAAATAAATAAATACATAATAAATAAATAAATAAATACTAGTTATTTTCTTACCTCAATGTGATGAGCAAACGTTCTTCTGCCGATATACATGATCTCATTACTGTATATTGACGAGTTAACTCCTATTTTAGAATCAAAAGAAGTTCTTGGAATGACGAATATGACATTCGATAACACTTATAAAATTTCTTCCATCTTCTATGTATTCAAATAATTCCAATTTTTTAAACGTTGTATGATAATGACCACTCAATCTTATTTCACTCGTAAATGGGTCTATCCAATAGATTCGCTTTTTTACACTTTTTTTCCTTTTTAAAAGAAGTACTAAAGCCAACGTAAGCAGTGTTGTCTCAACCGACGCCATTGTACAACTGAAGGAGGAGTCACTGATCTGAAAAAGGAAAATTCTACGAGCGACTAGAGCGCGTCCGTATCGCTGTATCTGCGCGTATACGCGCAGTAGAGGCGCGTTTCACGATCGCCCCGTGTGCTTCAGTTACAAGGTTGCGATCGAATCCCGTTTGAATCGCGTATACGCGCGTAATCTACGCGTCGTCTGCGCGTTTAAAATACGCCGTGTGCTATGGGCCTTATAATTAAGTAATAATTTAGCTAATACCTACCTACGAACTTTATTACAAAATTTAGTTGAAATCTACTTCAATATCCAAGTATCTACTTACATCACACCTGTACTTGTCTTTTGTTTTTAAAATAATTTAAGTTATGAACACAAAACCCTGAAATTGAAACTTTGTTTACTAACAAAATGTTTAACTAAGTAGAATACGATTACATTTCTGCTAGGAAACGTATTTCAAGTTTATTTGTTGTTCCCTTTTTCTTCCGAGATTTCCGATAAATGGCCTTGCAAGTTGCATGCGTTAGGCATCGCAGAACTCACATAGGTGCGAAATATGGTCAGTCGATCATAGTCAGAATAGGTATTTAAGGTTGAAAGTATTTTCATTTATAGGTTAAATTTACTTGTATAGCGTCATGGTTTTGAGGCACTGTAGATTTATTTCCAATTATAGCAAATAGAAAGCTTAATAAAATTTTGTTTGGTATCAAACAAAGAAACATTACATTATAGTCGTCAGTTCTTCTAAAATAGGTTCAAATAGTAGATCTCCTGCCACTCATTTTCATCATATACAATTATCTATTTTCACTAAGAATACACAACGTAATACTTTTTTTTCTCACAAAAATAGTCAAAACATAAGCATGTGTCGGCAATTTGGTCAGTACTTTATTTAGATTTAGGTGATGCAACAACATGTCAGGTGTCGCGGGGGAGCGAGGGGAAGAGTCCAAGTCCTAATCCCGCGCACTTTACGATAACAAGTTTCGACATAAATTGGTTAAGTACCGAGGTAATCCTGCCGAATAATGTTCGGCCGAATATTCGGTTCGGTAAATATTTTACCGAACTTTCGGCCGAATATTCGTATTCGGTGAAATCAATATTCAGCCCATCCCTAATATTTAGTCTTCACGGGAGACAACGTTGATTTCTATGGGCCGCAGCAACCACTGGTCAAGTTAACTCTGTGCTCCTAAGTGACCCTTATCCTATGAAAAAAACAATCGAGTTTTCCTACGAAGTCAAATTGGGAGCCACTTGAGTAGCTTGCGAAATTGAGATGTACGGTCGAATTTCTCGAGC